ACTGTTTTTTTATGACCATATCCTTGTTGCCTTTGGGCTGGATTTTTGTCTCTGGGACTGGTGTCATTGTATAGCTGAGTCAACAGACTGGTAATATGACTTTTTTTTTTCTTTTGGCTGCTCCCTGCGTTAGAATGAACTTATGATGCCTTTTTAAAGGAGACCCATGTGCGTTCTGCAGATTGTGGAAAATTTGTTAAAAATAGTCAGGTTAGGTGTTTCAGTCTAATTTCCAACCCAAACCCAGATGGGTAGCTATTATAGTTGGCAAACGGGTACAATGTACAGCCTCAACTGTGCATGCTGATAATGCTGGTTCGGTATGTTGTAGTGGTGGGGAAGTTGTACACGTTGCCAGTGCTCTTGTTTTCGGTATATGCTCCCAACTGGGATGAGTCTACATTTTTAGCAACCTCTTCTCAAATACACAGAACATGTCAACACATAACCTTACAATTGGCAGTGACACAAATTGTGCACTTTTGTCTCGACTGTAGTTCGATGGGAAAAATCACTTTGACTAAGTCCGCTTAGCTAATCAATTCATTCCGTCAATCGTATGGTGTGGCTGATGTAAGGCATTTCTGTAACCCTAGTCAAGTCTAGTCAAGTCAACTTTATTTATAGAGCATATTTAAAACAGAACCTGTTATCGAAGTGCTTAACAATAACAACAAGAACAACAACAACAATCAATGGGAGTAAAATTAAAGAGAAAAAAATACAATACACTAATAATAATAACTGAAGAATTAATAAAAAGCATTTAAAACATAGGGCCACAGAACAAAAACAAACAAACACTAGATCAATTTACACTGGGTGAAATGTCTGCGAGAACAGATGTGTTTTTAGCAGGGATTTGAAGTGAGGATGGGAGGTGGCCTGCCTGATGTTGGGGGGCAGGTTGTTCCAGAGTTTGGGCCCCATGACTGAAAAAACTCAATCTCCTCTGAGCTTCAGTCTTGTTTTTGGAACAGCCAAAAGCAGCTGATCGGAGAGGGAACGTAAGGATCCAGTAGCTCAGAGAGGTAAAGGGGTACAAGGCCATTTAAGCATTTGAAGGTCAACAGAAGAATTTTAAAAACTATCCTAGTACGAACAGGGAGCCAGTGAAGGGAGGACAGGACTGGTGTAATATGTTCAGACCTACGAGTTCCGGTTAAAAGCCGAGCAGCAGCATTCTGGACGAGCTGAAGACAAGAAATGGAGGCCTGGCTGACCCCAGCATAGAGTGCATTGCAATAGTCCAATCGGGTCGTGACAAAGCCGTGGACTAGTTTCTCAAGGTCGGGTCTGGACAACACTGGCTTGAGCTTAGCTACCTGCCTTAGTTGGAAGAAGCTTTACTGCAGAACAGAGCTAATTTGTTTGTCAAACTTGAAGTCAGAGTCTAAAACCATCCCGAGATTTTTACCAGACTGCTTAAGATATGGCTGAAGAGAGTCCAGGTTGACAGGATCAGTGGCGGCAGTTGAGCTAGGGCTAAAGACAATGACTTCAGTCTTCTCATCGTTAAAACTTAAGAAATTTGAAGCCATCCAGGCCTTAATGTCGTCCAGACATTTTAACAGAGGGTGAATGGAGCAAACACTTGCTGGTTTCACAGGCAGGTAGATCTGACAGTCATCAGCATAATGGAATGAAAGACCATGTTTCCTCAGGATGGACCCCAGTGGGAGCAAATAAAGTGAGTACAGAAGGGGTCCAAGAATCGAACCCTGTGTGACCCCGCAAGAAAGAGGTAATGAGGCAGATGCATTATTACCAACCTTGACACAAAAACTCCTGCCACTCAGGTATGAGCAGAACCATTCTAATGCAGCACCTGTGATCCCAACCCACTGTTCCAGCCGTGATATAAGGATACTGTGGTCAACAGTATCAAAAGCAGCAGTAAGGTCCAGGAGCACAAGTACCACAAATTGACCAGAATCGTTTGATATCATAATATCGTTACAAACCCTTACTAATGCTGTTTCAGTGCTGTGGAGTTGCTTAAAACCAGACTGAAAAATCTCCAAGATTCTGTTCTCATTCAAAAACTTGTTTAATTGAATGAAAACTATTTCCTCCAGGATTTTGGACAGGAAGGGAAGTTTTGAGATTGGTCTGAAATTTGAGCAAGTCGAAGAGTCAAGTTCAGGTTTATTAATTAACGGATGAACTACTACTGCATGTTTGAAAACATTGGGAACCACACTTGTCATAATACTACTATTTACAATAGTAAGAACAGAGGGTCCAATCGTGGGTAGAACTTGTTTGAAAAACGACGCAGGAATGGGGTCAGCAGGGGAACCGGAGGGTTTCATATGGCCAATGACTTTGTTTAGAAATGGGAGTGAAATGGGTTCAAACTGTTTGAAGACAGCTGAGCAAGGGACAAAGACAGAGGGGTCAGTTGTGGACTGGGGGATGGATGACCTAATCAACTCTACCTTATCAGCAAAGTATCTGGTAAAGCCGTTGCAGATGTCAACAGAGGCCTCCATGCTGGCAGACCGAGGCACGTTTAAAATGGAATTTAGGGTATTGAAAAAAACCCGGGGATTATGACTGAAGCAACTATTTGGGAGAAGTATTTGTTCTTTTCAGATTTAACGATGCTTTGATAATCTTTCAAACACGTTTTTAACATAATAAAAGATACCTGTAATTTGTCCTTTTTCCACTTACGCTCAGCTCTCCTGCATAGACGTTTGGCCGCTCGAGTGGTTGCGTTCAACCAGGGTTGTGGTACTCGCTTTGGTCGCCTGATTTTTAGCGGGGCCACAAGGTCTAAAATCTTAGAGCAGGTTGCATCATGCCTACTGAGCAGCTCCTGCATACTAATACAGGCAAAGGTTTCAGGGACTGAGGCAGCATCAGTAATGAATGCAGAAGAAAAAAGAGCAGCGGTTGAAGAGTTAAATATCCAAAAACTCTTGGCTGGAGCGGGGGATTTAACCCTACCTCAAGATCATACTCGTTTTTTCCCCCCCAGTCCATAAGATGTACTCATGAATCAATTATTTATTTCTTGATAAACAAATTTTACCTTTGGTGAAGGAAAGTGATTATGGGGCCATGTCATCTCAGACCATGGTCCACTTATTACGAAATTGGTTATTCCGGTTACAAAGTCTGTGTTTCGTCCTTGGAGATTCAACCCCTTATTTTTGTCCGGGGAAGAATTTACCAAAATTCTTACAACTGAAATTGAAATTTTCCTCAAAGTTAACCGAACAAGAGGAATGCAACTCTGTACTGTCTGTGAGGAATTAAAGGCCTACTTAAGGGATAAAATATTTTTCTACTGTGCAAACAACAAAAAAGAAGGGGTTGGTATGGCTAAAACAGTTAACGGATGAAATATTACATTTAGACAAAGAATATAGCCACTCCCCCTCATGGGATCTAATGAAAAAACGTTTGTTACTTCAAACTGAATTTTATACTTTGTCTGCTCAGCAGGCAGAGTATTAATCTCTAAATCTAGACAGGGTTACTACGAACATGGTGAAAAGGCTGGGCGCTTGCTCGCACACCAGTTATGGTGACAGTCAGCCAACCAAACTATTACAGCAATAAACAATGAACAGGGAGCTGCATGCCACGACAATGCTGAAATTAAAGCATGTTTCAGTAAATTTAATCAGTCATTGTATATGGCCGAGTCATCAGCTAATGTATCGGACATGCAGAACTTTTTTGGAGGTCTTGAACTTCCTTCAGTGAATCATGATCTTGTTTTTAAGAATTAACAGAACTGTTTCTACTCAGAGAATACAGACCAATCCATCACAGACTGTTTAGAGTCCATCCATCCATCCATCCATCCGTCCATTATCTTTACCCACTTCTTCCTTTTTGGATCGCGGGGGTCGCCGGTACCCATGTCCAGCAATTACTGTGTGAGAGAAGGGGGACACCCTGGACAGATCTCCAGTCCATCACAGGGCCACATAGGGACAAACGAGACAAACACCCACACCTAAGGATAATTTAGAGTTACCAATCAGTCTAACATGCATGTTTTTGGTCTGTGGGAGGAAACCGGAGTACCTGGACAAAACCCATGCATGCATCGAGAGAACCTGCAAACTCCACCCAGAAAGGTCCCCGGACTGGGATTTCAACCAGGCTAACCTGCTTGCTGAGAGGCAGCAGCTCTACCAGTTGTGCCACCGTGCTGCCCCTGTTTAGAGTCATCATGCACATTAACTGCTTAAAAAACTTGTTGGTGTCCACCCCTATCAAACTTTAAACTGTGCCATTAGCCTACAGAAGTGTTGTGTTGTATGATGTTGTGTTGTGATGTTGTATTGTTGCGTTGTGATGCTGTTGTGTTGTATGATGTTGTGTTGTGTTGTTGTGATTTTGTGTAGTGATGATGTTGTGTAGTGATGTTGTGTTGTGATGCTGTTGTGTTGTATGATCTAGTTATGTTTTATGATGTGTTGTGATGTTGCTATGTTGTGATGTTTTTGTATTGTGATGTTGTGTTGTGATTTTTTGTTGCTGTGTTGTGATGTGTTGTATGATCTTGTTTTGTTGTGTGATGTTGTGTTGTGTGATGTTGTGTTGTATGATCTTGTTGTGATGTTGTTGTGTTGTGTTGTATGATCTTGTTTTGTTGTGTGA